TTAATTTATTGGTATAACTTTTTTTGATAATCGGGTTGAAAATTGTGTCATAGATGAGTACGTTGAGGATGAGAGCTGTGTTCAAGTTTTGGAATAGACTAACTACGGAGTCTATGGTTTTGGTAAAGTAGGTGAACTAATGTAAATTCAGGTATTTAAAAAAAATGTGTACACAGTTTTTACTTTGATGTACACATGTAGCTAGGTTGAACAACGCATATAAAACCTCACTACATACAAAACATTCGGAAACACAACAGTGTCATCACATCTCATCGCATTTGCATAATGTGTTACCAATGCTGGACTAGGTTATGGATTTGGTTCCGCAAATGTTCAAGATTTGTGATAAAATTTCTTACAATTATGGTTCATTCGTATCCACGAAATACATGCACAGCTTTATGTGATCTATATGGCCAAGGCAAAACTACCCCATAAGTTAATGAATTATCAAGTACCTAAGAACAGGATGATTAAATAAATACATGGGTCGATGTGGCAAGAGAAGGATTTAAAATTGCTGAGATCGAAGTAAGAATGTTACTGCTTTCTGGAGAATCAGATATTTTTATAAAAAAAAAGATGAAGATTTACTTATAAATCCGGATACAATCTGAATGATTTTCGTAAAGCAGATGGAATTAGTGGTTAGTAATAAATATTGACTCTTTCCGTAACATGATAGACTAATTATATGAACTCATTCTCTCATATAGTGAAAGTGGCTTTGGTATGAAACAAACTCATGAACAAACAATTATAAGACTCCTAAAAAACCTTTTGGGCAACCTAAAGCCGATAAAAAGAAAGGTAGGAAATATTGTGTTAAACGAATTCATCAATCACGTTTTTTAGGGAACACAATCGTCATACTTATTATTGCTTCCTCCCTTCATATAACTAAGATTTTAATGACTTCACTCTATCCAACGCAGTTAGCTGAATTTACATAAAACCTCAAGATTAACCGTCGATTTCGACGGGGTTCCACTAGTCTATATATTAATTTGAAATTGTTTTTCTTTGTCAATTTGAGAGAATTAATTTGAGAGAGAATTGAGAGAATGTTCTAATTTGAACATGGTGAATTCCGTTGGGGCTCTGCCCCAGTGGCCTTTAAATTCCCATCCCATGTTATTCTTATGGAGGAAAACGGGGTTTTTGTCACAGCTAATTTGAGAGAACGGCTGGGCGTAGAAACTTGGTAGGGGTCTCTAAAGAAAGGTCTTGGTAGATGAGCCATCAAAAGAAAAACGAGGTAAATTTACCTTGGGGTTCTGCCCCAGAATCCTTTAAAGTTGCCTCTTCAGATTTATTTACATTACGACCATATGCATAGTTCTACACTACTTTATAATGCAACAGCTGTTATATTTAAATTGTGATTTATTGAATTTGTCAAAATGAAGTACAGTATTTGCAATGGGTTTTTCTGATTTTAAAATTGATTTCCTTCTCCAAAGAAGAAAGAATCTCTAAGAATCTCATCGTGTCATGTTTTGCAATATAATGTTCTATTACCAAATCAGTGGAAAATCCTAATAAGTTATCACAGTAACTCTTACAATTATTTCTTATAGAGTTAACTTATATCTATTGCCTTGGTTGGTTTCTGCCTTTTTTACCACTTCTTGGAGATTAATGTCTGTATACAATAGGTGATATTCTCTGGCATATTGCATCTGTAGATGAAACTTGGGTTGGTGTAATTATTACAATGGAAAAGAGCGAGAAATCCTGGACAATTTTATATAGGCTAAAAATAAAACTGAATTAACACTGTGCTACATTTCTTGAGCAATCATTGAAATAACCGATTTGCAAACAATGGAAACACAGAAAAAGTAAAAAAAAAAAAACACAACCAAGTAGAAGAAATAGAAATAATGTTTTTTTTCATTTATAATCGTTATTATAGACAACCTAATGCGGCTATGAGAGGGAAAAATTTGTAGAAAAAAAATAGATCAGCTTTTTGAAAAAAGATATTTACAAAAGATTTTGATTATATCTAACGGTTGTATAGATCGTGAGTATTTCCATAATCTTTGAGTCGCCTGTAATGCTTCGCAATTGCTCGAATTCGAGCAACAGGTACACTAGTTGTAAATAAACTTCTAAACGTTGAAGCTTCTAATTTTACTTATATTTTCTAACAAAACATGGTGTCAGGTGTATTTTGAAACCTAGAAGAAATAATGAAAGTATCTGGAGTGTTTAGGTTGCCTGAACCTACGAGTTTTGAAGGAAATGTGAGTGAAAATTGGAAAAGATTTTGTCAGAAGTTTGAACAACTGTATTTAATAGCTATTGGTCATAGTAAGAAACTTAAGGATGAAATTAAGATTGCGCAGCTGCTTAGCCTGCTGTTTTTTTTTTTTTTTTAAGGGGAAAGATGTATTATAATGTCATATTCACATATTACCATATATTATATTGTAAATAAACTTCTAAACTTAAAATGTTGAAGCTTCTAATTTTATTTATAGTTTCTAACTAAAACAATAGTATGCCACAGAGAAGTAATATAATTTATATTACTTCTCTGTGAGTATGCCTAAGTTTTTCTAGAAAATTTTTCCACCCGACTCATTGGTGTTTAGTTTTCTATTGAAACATTGATGATTTTTTACCTGCTCTTGCTTTTATTGTAATCATCAAATCAACTAATTTAAGTTTTCCGTAAAACAATCACAAACATTATATTATATCATAATATTATATGATATAATTGATATATCACATAATATTATATCAGGTTGTCCCATGAAGAGAAGAGAATGCCGTTTTTAAATAATGCACGCAAGACCTATCAAACACCATACAAAGTTGAAATTCTACAGGTCCAAAACTCATTTTAAAGAAAATGTGATCATGCCAATACCAACTGTGAAAAATCACTGCTAGTGAGCCATAGTGTAGGGGCGTTTGTAAATATAGGAAGGTTCTTGGAATTTTGAATGAAGCAATTTTATGATTGGTGGCGATGGGGATAGATAGGTAATGACATGTAGAATCCTGTACTACCGGGTGTTTTGTCTGAAGTGTAGCGTGGTCTAGCTAGTGTTTTCGGCTGCCATCTTGGATCCGCCATATGGGATTTTATTAATACAATTTTGTTAATGTAATGATAGTATCAGTTTTTAAATATCTTTTCCGTTTGGAAGATATATTCATATATCAATACAATATATCTAAACCCCAACATAATATTAAATTTAACTTTATAGAAATCAGTTTTTATTAAAATATTAACATCTAGGTAATCATAAACATTAATTAAAACATAGTGAAAATTGCTTGTAAAACCTTTAAAAGCGTAGTTTTTTTTTCTTATTATAAAAAAAGCAAATATTCCTTTATAAAGTTTTCTATTCAACTCTTTTAATTAATTTGTATGTAAAACTTGTGTAAAATGTTAATTAAAAGCCATCGTCATCTCCCGCAATCACAGAAACGTCATTGTCGTCTCCCACGGTCATGGAAACGTAATTTTCATGCACGATCGCGGCAAATTGAAAATTGCTGCTCAAATACAAAATTCATGCATAATTCCCGGTTTTTACCAGGTTAAAAAAAAATCATGCATAATTCCCGGTTTTCCCGGTCGGTGGACACCCTGTCGGGTTATTAATATGTCATTAAGTTCTTTCTGGTCTAAATTAGTCAGTAAGTGTTTGGTTTTAAATTTAATTAATCACTAAAAGAAATCTGACTATTTTTTAATGAGCATGACTGTGACCCTTATTTAACATTAAATTATTTGTATGTTGAAATTTGTCTTAAGTTAAAGACACAGGGCTGGTCATCAGTGTTAAAAAAAGTTTTTGGTTTAAGTACAAAGTAAATGAAGTGTGATGAACTTGTGAAAGCCAAGTGTACACGAATTACGTGCATAATAAAATCATACTGTTTTGTGATGTTTGGTTGGAATACTGGTGTGCAACAAAGTAAAAACTGTAAAACAAAGTAAAAACTGTGCGGCAAAGTAAGTACAGTAAATGCAGCAATTAGCAGCTTTCTGTACTATAACTAGTGCAAGGAAGCTCACTTTGTCGGGTGACTGTAGGGAATAGTTATTTGTGTAACTAGTGGTGAAAGTGGCACTTTGCTGCACACGAGAGCAATGTTTACGCACGAGCCGCAGGCGAGTGTGGAATGATCTCGAGTGCAGCAAAGGCCTTTTTCACTCGTGTTACACATTATATTTTTCCTACAGTCACTATAAAGCATATAAATAATTAGTCTTTCAAACACTATGCAACACGTTTTTAGGTTCAGCTGGCATCACAAATGGTGCCCTAGAGAAAGTAGTACCCGCGGTCCATATCACTCCGCTATTTTTCCTCGGCAAGAAATGTGCTCCGCGTTTTGAGAATATAGTTCCGTATGTTTTTGTAATTTGAAGTGGTTTCCGCGCCTAAAAAAAATGCTCAAAAGGTATTTTCTCGTTTATTAAGATCGTAGGAAGGTTTTAAAAACGTTTAAAAGAAGTCCAGAAAGTTCAGAAATACCCAAACTATAAACACGAAATGACAGGTTAAATCCTAGTTATAATAGTCAATCAGCTGCTCATAGTATAATTTATCTTTAAGTGTTGCCAACCTATTTCCAAGCATACACGGATTACGTGCATAATGGAACCACGCTGTTTTGTGTTGTTTCGTTGGAATCCTGATGTGCGGCAAAGTAAAAACCGTACGGCAAAGTATAAACCGTACGGCAAAGTATAAACCGTACGGCAAAGTATAAATATGCAGCAATTAGCAGCTTTCTGTACTATAAACAGTACAAGGAAGTCAACTTTGTCGGGTGACTGTAGGAAAAAATATAGCCAATACAAAGTCATTAAAAAGAACTTTTTAAAAAGAATGTTTGATAAAAAGCTACTACCACATTAGTACTATTTATTGTGAACTACTTTTTAAATCAAAGTCAGAATTTTATTTTTAATTAAAGAATGTAAGATTGACCAACAATGTACATAGAATATTAGTCTATGTTTTCATTAAAAAATACTCTTCAATAAGGTTTTTATTTATTCAGCCTGTATTTATAATGCAAATTATTTACAAAGCTATACAGAAGAAGCTATACAAGGTGAGAAGTCTTGTGCATCCAGATTACAATTTAATACAAATTAAAAAATTATGTTCAGTGTTCACAGAGAAGCCTATTCTTTTGCGTTTCTGCCTCTGTAAATGCTTTTGTATTTCATGAGCTCAAGGTCTTCAGATTCAAAGGGTCTGTTCTTGAACTGTTCCCAAGGGTCGGGGTGATCGTCTGGTTTCATTTCACGTCTCCATACTTGGTAGAGCTTAACAAACTGATCAAACTTTTCCCCGTTCAACACTCCTGTGTCGTCTGTGAGCTGTAATGAGAAAGTTCAATATAAATTTCAAAGGTATTTATGAAATTTATGTATAAGTTTAGTTTAAGCATTGACTTTTTATCAATAAATCAACGGTATAAGCAGCATAGATGAACCAACACAAGTAGACTTCTCATCCCATTGTAAATTTTCAAGCTGGTTCTTCGTGTCTAGTTCATGTCTGGTGACACTGCTTGCTAGTATCGACGACATTTTGTATCTATTATTATAGGCTTAATTTAATGATTTGTGCTTTATTGTTTGGTTTTATAACTAGGGATCAAATTATTGTTTATGATTGGATTGTTTTATTTGGTTAAACGAGGTTGTAAATGACTGAAATAACAAGAAACAAATTTTAAACAAAACATGACCTCTACAGTGCGCCGGACAGATCTAAAAATAAAATTGGCTTCAGCGGATCCATAAGGATGAGAAACCAACTAAGGGAGTATGTTTTATCTATGGCATAAGCATAGCTTAAGCATACTCCATAATTTTATCATCATCATTTTTTATTTATACAAAAAGACAGTTTGTTGTCAATTGTGTCCATCAATGCTCAATCAATTTGAAATAAAAGGAAGCTCATTATTAGGGTCTTCTGATACAGGAAATAAGGGTCTGTTGTTAATTAGTATTTTATCAACATGCTTAGCAATGTAGACTGACTTCTGCTTTTGAGCTGCTTGAATCCATCCAACACCACACAATTCTTGAGTCCGTCGAAAAGTATGTTTGGTCTATTTCCATTTTGTGATACTGATAGATCAAAGATGCAATTTGACTGCCTAATACAGCTGCTTGCAGGTCAAGTCTAAGGATCGTAGACGACTTTAGGGGAGCAACACGTGATCTTGATAATTTGTCTCTGTTTAATATACTGTATTTTATTTTATAATCACAGTTTGTAGCCAATGTTTTTTGGAATGAACTATATATTCATTCATTCATTCATTCCTCAAGTTGAATCCTCCTTTCTGGCAGATATTTACTACATCTTTTATTAAAGTTTCTGAAACTTGTCATTTTATTGTTTTTGGGCCATAACTTTGTAAAAATAAATGGTAATTGGAATCTTTTTACATTTCCATGTAGGGAAATAAATTCCAAACAATTTGTATATCTTGAAGTTTATATGAAACGTTTTTGGATCATGCAGCAATTTTTCTACCTACTGTCATTATTTTCTACAATATTCTAAATATTTATTTTGTTATGAATACTTCAAGTATACGGCTCAATAGGTTTGGTCTGTTGGTTTAGTTTATGTGAACTTTTGAAAATATGACTGCATAATTGCCAAACATGCCTTTCCACTACAGAGTTTGTCCATTGCAAGTTGGAGGGTTAACGAAACACGCTTTAAAAATCCCAGTATAAAACTACATTATTATAAGTACAATTATTAATATGTGCGTGGATGCCGGGCGACATATGCACTGCCGTGCTGGTGCAAGGCTACCATCGCGCCACGCACCGATGTATCTGCGCTACATCACTAAGGAGGGGTGGGGGAGGGGAAGTAGGTTCAGGCGGTGGCCGCTAACATCAAAGGAGTGAGCCAGCCCTTGTATATCTGTAGCCCTGGTAGGCTACATATTAAACTTTAAACAAAAATTTATTAACAAATGCCAAAAATAAAATTACACTGCTAAAGCAACCAAATTATAAACAGGGAGATCGACTACCTATGTTTATAAAAAAAGACAGACAGAAATTTCTTGGTTTTAAAAATAAATGACAGGCCACCCCTAAGTGCAGATCAGTTAGCAAGGTTCAGGGTTAAAATCCTGCCAACCACCAATGGATTAGTGGCAACACCACAACAGCCGTAGCACTAATTAATATGGAGTGTCTGTAAAATGTTCATCTGTTATTGACATGTTAATTTGCCGACGAGTGTGGTATTGCCACACACCAACGCCACAGCCTTGTATTACAAGAGGCTATGCTTTTAGCGGTGTTATAATGTCCGACCACTCACTGGTTCGAATCATTTGTATTGTTCTCAGTGTTCTACTTGATGAGAATTTTATTCTTAAACATACCATTCAACTTTATATAATTTCTAACTTGTGTGTTGATTTAGGTTATTATCAAGTCTTTATATCAAAACTCTGAATTTCAAAAATATACAGGGTGTACAAAAAGTCCTGGGGCGGTTATGGTAGTTTACGCAACAATTACGTAAAGATGGTGTTAACGAAGCACATCGACACAAGTAGAAAATTTAAGGTATGAACCTTGGCGAGTGCCTTAAAAACTTCTACGAGTGTCATTAACCCTACTTTACCTACGCAGTGTTTTAATTACTAAAAATCACTAGTCATAACTTCTAAGAGAGGTTATGTTTTCGTTTATTATAACCTCTCATTGCCACTGACAGTGATGCAACAAAACATTGTACCAAACACTAATTGCACCACTCGACAATTAAATTGGCCTGAACAGCTCATTAGTTTAAGTTTGAATCATTACAATTTTACTTCTTCTCTCTCAATACTTGAACCTCATTGGTCCCTTCCGTGTTGTTAAGTAAACCTATGAACTGAACTGAAACGGCTACTTTAAATAAAGGTCGTAGGTAAAATATTTTTCAAATGATTTAAAATAGACCTACAAAACTTTGCACAAAGTTACTGGACATAAAAATCTATTTTATCACATATTCAGTGATCCGCTACTTCCTCAGGGGGACAAACACAAATTTGAACACAAACGGACTACTGAGTCAAAGTATGCACCTGTACAAGATTTCTTGAATCTGCCATTTTTAATCTTTGAACGCCTGCCATTATTTACTCAGTTGTTGTATTGAGCTAAAATTTTTGGCATTGTATTCTACTAATAAAGCCCTTTAATTTGATGTACATATCAACCTATGCATATGGTTTTCATTATCTTCCCACTTCCAGTGTTACCCCCTGAGGAAGTAGCGTATAACATCATTGAAAATTCAATGTACATCTTTGAATAGTTGTCATTTTGGACTCCGTTGTCCGTTTGAGTTTGGGTTTGTGGCATTGTATTCTACTGAGGTCTTTACTTTGATTTAATATGCATATCAAATCAATATATGCTGACATTTAAGATTTTCTTCTGACTCCCAGCCCCCCTGAGGAGTAGTGGATCACTGAATATGTGATCAAATAGATTTTTTTGTCCAGTAACTTTGTACAAAGCTTTGTAGTTCTATTTTAAATATTTAACCGACCAGGGACTTTTTTGACACCCTGTAAAATAAAATACCAACCTTTTCCTTTAAAACTCTTGTAGCAAATTTGTAGAATTTATCAAGGTGTTTAAGAAACTGTGTATTAGGCTTCAAGTTTACTTTTTCTACTTCTTTCATTATTTCTATGATGAAGTCACAGTCTCTTCCATAGCATGCATTTTTCACTAAAGTTCCAAGAGTCTCAATGTTTGGGCTGAAACAAGTTAAATCTTTCTAAATCACAAGACATATTCCCTGTAAGATTACCAAGTAGTATATATAGCTAGTACAATCTAGTGCAAACTGAGTGGGTTGATGCAATCCAACAAGATTGTATAATTTTAAATACCACCAAATTAATTCCAATAAGGGTGAATTGAGATGAGTAAATCTGCATAGCAATTGAAATAAGACTTTTTGTAAAGAATCAAATTTGTTTTCACCCCTACGTAAAGTAGATTCATAATTCACAAGAATCTGAACTGATTGGAACCGGACACTTTTCTGATTTCAGATTTGTACCAAATTATTTGGATTAGAAAAAAATCAAGCAAAATAAAACAAACAAAATAATGTTTTTTATGACTGTAAAAGTCCTTATATTGCTCACACAATCACATCAACAACATGATTGTCTCAGCGATCACACAACAACGTGATTGTTCTCCGAGATCACAGCAATATCACGAAAGTCTCCTGGGATCACGGCTAAATCCTGATCATTTCCCACCATCACAGTGAAACCATGATCATCTTTTACAATTCCATTCTTCATACAACATGAGAAACATAAGATAGGACTAACAGAACTCTATTAATGAATGGACACTACTTGGCCATATTCTCTTAGTAATTATTCAACATTTTTTGGATTCACTCAAAATTCTCTTACTTTTGTATTATTCACACGGCTCTCCCGGTCTGCTGGGCACATAGCAAGTATATTTCAAATAGCTTTGTTTGTAATTTAAATATAGTAACTAGTTACCTCTTAGCCAAAAAGATAGTTTAAATTAATAGAGTTCCAATCAGTTAAGACTCTGGTATAATTTAAATTTTTTGATAATCACTTCTTATCAAACAAAGTATCACTTCAAACCTGCTACTTGCCGAACAGTGTGTCTCTCGTCTAAAAAGCTTATGGAACCTTTATGTTTATGTTTGATTATTTCTATAATCTTGTTCAGAAATACAAATAAAGAAAAAAATAATGTTTTCTTTTACAACTTATATAAAACTTAAAACTGTTATTACTATACACTAAGGTGTATTATATCATATAACTATATTATTACATTTACTAATATAAGACTGTTAGGCTTATTACAGTTATAATTTAAATTTTTTCTGCGTTTCAAATAGTTAGTGTACATTTATTTAGTGATTCCAATTTTACATTTACTTCTTTAGATGGGGTAAACAAGTTCTTTTCAAAGAATCAAACATATTTCCACGTAGGGAAATAACATGTCTACATTTACTTTAGCTTGGATTTTTGTTCATATTTTTTTTAGGAAAATGCCAGGGCTCTACTTAAGAAATTAGTGTTAAAAATGTAACACAAATTTCAGTTTTTAAACTGTAGCAAACAATTTACCCCAGGGACCCCAGGATCTTTCTAATTTGAAAAGCATAAAATTACATTTTGTTTGAGCTGAGCTATAACCTGGCACAATCATGTCTTCATTAAAACATCGTAATGACAAAGACTGACACTACCAATAACTGCTATTGTTTACGTTCTGCGTGGTTGTGCAGACGGCTCGTCCATTTTATCAAGGTACTTTTTTTTACTCAATGTCCCATTCACTTTTAAAATGTTTCTATTATTACATTCAAACATTATTTGCTCAAAAATGCTGGTTACTAGTTACTACATGATCATGATCAGTTCATATAGTGTCTTTGAATCGTAAGATTTAGTACTGATTGTATTAGAAGTCAATGGATACTATTTCACTAAATTCATCAATTAGCTGAATGAACATTTAAAAACAATGCAAAATGTTTTCTCAGAAGTATATGTTTATAAATTAAAGACCTACACCTTAACATGTCTTTGAAGACTCACCGAAAGCCGAACTTGTCGATATCATTTAGCAGTTGACGAGCAGAGGTGAGGTCCTGACAAGCCATTGCTAATACTCCAAAGGTCAACATATTTGGTTTCAGTTTCTCCTCATAAATCAGCCTTAGAGTGCACTGCAAGTGAACTTTATTGGTTTGAAATGCCAAAGCAATTTTGGGTAAAAGATCATGTTTGTTTTTTTATGTTCTTTATCACAGAAAACAAACTACTGTAACCCAGAATTCTGTGTCTTTACTGAGCTTCTAATCTGACCAAGCAAAAACACAAGTGGATACAACAGGTGTACATATGTACTCTGGATTCAATTCAGAAACCCTTGCTTATTAAAATTTACTCGTTCTCCATGTACTTACTTTGTATGTTCTCATACATACTTTTAATGTAGCCTACTTCACTACCACAACTGAAAGAGTGGACAGACAAGGCATAGCAAACAAATGTAACAGATATCGAGATGGCGGTGACTCATGGGAAGGTTGACTGTGCTTGTGGTGTGTGCAATAAAACTGTTAAAGAGAACAATTTGGCCCTTGGTTGTGAAGGTTTTTGTGAAAAATGGTACCATACAAAGTGCATCGGAATGGTTAAAAAGGATAATGACAAATTTATTGCTTTTGGTGATAAACCTGTGTGGTAACTTACTGTGAGCCCTTCCGGTGTGAGGTTAGGAAGTTTCACAACCAGCAGAAGTGGAAAAGTGGTCTAAAGTGGCTGCTAGGAAACGTGGCAGAAAATAAAATGTAAATTCTGCTAATGACATTGTCTCTGTAAATAGGCATAACGGAAAAAACAGATCTAGGCCTACTAGTCAAGTCATTGTTGACTCACTGAGTTCACATTGTACTGTATCCAAGGTAGCAGCTGTGGACAAATCTTCCTCGATTTTTGTATCTCGTTTGGCTTTAACAGTCACCAAAGAAGACGTAGACGAACACATTAAATCAATCTGTGGCGAAATACCTTTGGAAAATGTAGAACTTAAAACCAAGTTTCCAGGCTACCGGTCCTTCAAGATCAAAGAGCCCTTAACAAGATTATATATAACGCAGACGACACCACACTGATTAGGGGAGGAGCGAGCTTGGACGGAATCAGAGAGGCGGCAGCTGCTGACCTTGCTTTAGAGGAGATATCGTTTAGAAACAACAAATTTCAAGTCAATGCCGATGAAACACAACAGATTGTCTGCAGTTTAAGTCAAGATTTGGCCGTATCACAACACCACCAACCCCAATAAGTTAAACTTCTGGGCTTCACAATAGACAGGAAATTAATTTGGCAACCTCAAATTGATGAAACGTGCAAAAAGTTATCTAGAGTTGTCTTTCTGCTGCGTAGGCTAAAGAGTAGCTTAAGTGAAGCTTTTCTTATAAACATCTACCACGGACTGTTTCATAGTCACATTACTTACGGCATACTTCTCTGGGGCCATGCTTCAGGGTGTGATGAAGTGCTCAGGCTACAAACATCTGCCTTGAGAGCCATAACATCTAGCGCTCCTTTGGAACACTGTAAGCCAATCTTTAGAAGGCCAAAGGTACATACTGTTATTGGGCAGTATATATACTCCTCCCTTGTACATGTCAGGTCGAACATTGAGCTACTAAAGACCAGAGGAGATGTTCATAGCTATAATACATGTAGCAGAAGCAAAATTGACATTCCTAGATTCTACCTCATAGGAACACAGCGCCGTTTCCCTGCTTTTTCTTGGAATTGTTCAACAAGCTCTCCCCAGAGATCAGCAGTCTTCCGAAAAAAAAAGAAAAAAAAACGTTTACCAGGGTTGTACGAGATAGGCTTCTTCAAAGAGCCTACTACTCCGTGAGAGAGTATTTTGATGACAAAAAATGGTATAGTGCACATCACCTCCGTAGTCACCCGCAAAGATTTTGTTTTTACTTTTGAAACTTTCAAACATATTTCCTTGAAAGATAAAAGTTTTATTTTGTTGTTGTAAATATTTATATTTACAAATTGACACAGTTTATCCAGCTATGCTGGTCAACAACACAGCTTTGTTAATAAGGTAATAACTTTATTATTAAACATTCTTATATTTAAAACTGTTACTTTTTAAGTAATTGGTCGTCAGCTTTTTTGAACAAAAAGTTGAATTTAAAATCGTTTGATGAGAGAGACTCTAAGGAAATTCATATATATTATTGATGCAACTACTAATAGTTTGGTCATTATTTGGTGTATTACTATTTCACAAGATATCCTATTTTATTTGATGTTTCAACTCTCGTTAATGAGATAATATTGAAATTTATCTTTTATATATTTCTGTTGAGTGTATATCAGTGTAAATCATCTATACCTTTGCATTTTCATAGTCGCCACGCAATGCTCTCTTGCGTATCAGCATGTTGCAGAAATCACAGTCAATTGGAACGTTTGCCTGTTTTATTCTACAAAGAAGATCCTGCAAAAAAAGTTTCTAATTTAAGATTCAATTATTTTTTAAAGCCTCAAATGCACTATTGGACCATCAGTGTAACTATATTACTTCCTGCCAGGAGGCCACAGGAGAACTTTAAGAGGCGGTTCATGGGTACGGGGTTTCGTGGCCCGCGGTTATCGTTGATCTCGACCAATTTTAACTGACGGTCAAAAAATGGGTTCACGACATAGAGCGTTAGCCAAGATCAAGCTTAGCCGAGACCAACGCAGGCCGTCGCTCAAGAGCAGGGATTAACTGGGAATTTTTTGTTGGGAGGTTGGCAGCAGCCACCTGCCGGGTCGCTGCTCGCGGTCGACGAGCCCCAAAACAATAGGATGACGTTGCGTTATAATGATTTGTTCATAAATTATTATAATTAAACAGGGTATTTACTGATATTGTATAAAAGGTTGTGGGCTTGCACTTGAATTCATTTTATACTAAAGTTTAAGGTTACTCAATTTATCATTGAATTATGAATAATACACTTTTACTATACACTTTTAATACACTTTTACAACATTGGTGAGTCTGTGGCTCAGTCGGTAGCGTCACGGACTTTGGGCCCAAGGCAGCGATGTCGTGGGTTCGGATCCTGGTCACTGCCGATAATATTTATCAGTACAGTTCACCTTTGTACTGTACCGGCTCACCCCTTGCTTTGCTGGATACGTTCCACGCACGGGCAGTTAGTCTATGTGGACGGGCAAATGCAAGGTTAAAAGAGGCCGCCAACCTCTTAAATTAAAAAAAAAAAAAAACTGAATACATTGAATCGGGAAAATGTAATTAGGTTTTTAAAAAAGTTTAAACAAATCTTGGTAATGTTTGCAATAAAATTTGATTACCAATTATGTTCAAAAATAAGACATACTTTATCAGGTTTGCAGTTTTATCCAAACGGTCAAATTATTTAATAAAATTACTGCTCTTTTCAAAGATTTATGAATATCTTTTATGTGTCTGTAATTTGTATAAAAAATAAATTTGGAGTAACAACTGGCTATTATAGGAGCCGATACCTTAGGATACCTTCATACGTAAACAGTAATAAACGTAAATATAAAATGGCAAACATGCAATAACATTTTATGACACAAAGATCTTTTAAATCGGTTCACAATTGGGGCAACAAACAGCAGGCCTAAGAACTAAACCCCTATAAAAAATAAGATTATATGAAGGATAATAACATTTGCGAGATAACGTTTTGTATATTTAACTATAGAATTTATCTTTTACTTCAGCAAATTGAAGCAATTTATTGTAAATCCCGATATGACAAATATTAAGACATTATCAGATGAAAAGGTCTTTCTTTAACAAAATGTGAAATCATAAACATAATAATATAAACATATAATTTAAAAAATACAAAATAAAATTTGGATACTTATATCAAATGACCTTTGTTTTATATGCATTTTATGGAGGAACGAAAATTGTACTAATTTTATACAATAAAAATTCTTAGACAAACCTAACAGTGTTTGATGGAACCATTTTTATTTTGATATTATTCAGCTGAAATAAAAGGATTCAAAATTGCTCAAATAAAACATTTACACAATAAGATTCGATTGCAATTTAAATTTATATGAATATGTTAAGCTATTAGTTATATTTTTACTTATAATAATTAATTAAAATGTCTCAACAGTTACTTTTACTTTTTCGGCAATCAGTAGTAAAAAAACAAAAACAAATAAATATCATGTTGAGGGTAATGAAATTGTTCGGAATTTAATGGCGAAACCGAATATAACATTCTTTTTTCTAACAAAAAAACAATAAACGAGCAAATGAGATAATCCCGACATGATGTCACCTTAACCCTGCCCCCTAGCAGGGTTAAGTTGAAGTCCAAAACCATTGTTATTTACGCCCGAGATTATCCAGTTTGCGCTAGACCATGACTCGTGAACCCGACATATGGCCCGGGGTTTTCTCTAATTGAACCCGTGAAGCCGACTGTTTGGGCTCGGGTTTATCCCTGTCATAATTGGGTGAAGTTTATCTGTCTGCGCCCGAGCGCGGGTAAGCTCGTACTCGTGAAGCCGATTTCTAAGCCGTGGCTATAACTGGATTTTGCGCTCAAACTAAGGATAACCCGTGACTCGTGAACCGCCTCTAAAAATAAGATCCTTGATCACGAGGTTTAAATTGTAATTTGAAAAGACATTCTGTGCTTTGATACCACAGACTTTTATAGGGAATGCTATTGACATTATTTAATGATTTTGAATTTTGATTCAACAACCAAATATACTGTACCACTTCCTTAATGAAAATGGAATTTAGCCTGTCATAGTAGAAGGAGGGGCCTCTTGTAATTTGTCACATAAATGATTTATAACACTATTTGGTTACACTATTTTGATTTTTTAAATAATTTTCTATAGAAATGTAAATGAGTTGCATGAAATACAAATTTTATTTTGAAAAACATATTACAATTAATTGTTATTTATTTTTATTTGACCAAGTACTAATCTCAATCTACATGACAACTAATCTATTATTACCAAAAAAATTTTTGGAGTTAAAAAATTTCCTTACACAACCAAAGATGTGGTACCTACATATATCTTTTACAGTAATGTGTCTTTGAAAAAAAAAAAAACTGAAATTTTAATACAAAAGTTATTACTTTAGCTGGCAATTACATTTCAAAAGAAAATCATTTAATTTTTATAAATTGATAAAGGTACCACAGACACAAGTTGAACCATCCCAGAGGAGCAGACTGATTAAATCTATTGAATGAGAACACACCAGCCGACATCTTTTGCTACCACCCCATAACTTCCTGATTTATTTATGAATTGCATGTTTTGGTCACTCTGAATTAAATATAATTCTAGACTCATGAAAACATGACTGTTTAAACAGCGTAAACATGGTTTGTGGTCACGCCAAACCCGTCTTTCATGGTTAAGGCAAAATCGGTAACACCTTCCAATGTCAAAGCCAAACCGAGAATATCTTCAACAGTCACAGCTAAATCGAGAATATTTTCCTCAGTCACGGTGAAATCGAGAATATTTTCACAGTCACAGCCTAATCGAGAATAACTACTGCAATCCTTGAAACAAAGAAGTTCTATGGCCGCCCTGGGATGTACAAAAACGTGGCCATCTGATTCGGACTCGCATACAAAGTTATGGCTATTTTGAGTATCCTTTGTGCCAGAAAAGACGTTTCAGTGTGTTTGGGCACACCCACTATAGTGTAAATGACCCCATAAGATTTATCAGCCAAACAAATTTTGTATGATCTAGTACAGGTCTATGATTTTTAACAAAGTTCTGAATATTGTCAATTTATTTAAAAATCCGGTAAATACTGTAATCACTTACAATTACATTTTTTTACCATTAGTGTCAGCAAAATAACTTAGGCTAGTAACATTTATACCTGAATTACAATAATTATATTTTGGCGAATATAAGACATTTTTAGGTATAATGTTCACAATAATTTAATTGATCTTTAAATTCTTTAGAATCTAAAGTTTCTTTAATGTCCAGAGAGAGATTTTAAACTCCCTAACTTCCTAAAAGTAGCGTAATACCTAACATACATTGATTACTGTAACTACTTATACAAATCCCTAAAAACACTCTATTAGGTTTCATTAACCCTCCAATTGTCTCTAGTTTTGGTCTTAATGTTCGCCCATTTATTGCGCAATCGCAGGGTTTTATTAAAATGTATCTTAGAAACTTAAAAACAATGTAAAGTATACTGTTTTATATATCATTTTGTTTGGAAAATTATGGGCTTCAATGTAACATATAAAACATTACAAAAAAAATGTTCAACAATTTTTGTGGGGTTAACATTTCTCAAAAATTATAAAATAAATGAAAAAAAAATTATGTTTGCGCTCAATAAATTGTTATAATTTATAGGTCTACAAATATTTTAAAATAGCCACTTTGTTCAGAACTTTATGAGGATTCCAAAAATATAATAATATAAGGAAGTAGGTTTGCAAATAAATAAGTTATGGGCAGAAAACAGATTTCGGTACATAGCGTTTAGCTAAGAATCCATAGCCTAACCATAGCTAGGAATCTGGCTGATAATTTACATCAATATGTACTACCTACTTCTTCAGGATCATCGACCAGCCCTTCAAAATCACTTAAATCTTCTTATAATGCACCACGTATATCACTACTTTTGATTTTTAACACTAAAACAATGATAAACGTAATAAAACACATCAGTCATCGGTGCGAGGTTAACCAAGCTGTTTACAAATACGCACATCAGCTGTCTGCTACAATATTTTCGGAACTAAAATGAAAAGCGTATAGAAACAGACATCAGGAGAAAGCTCTGAATCTGCTGAAAAAAACTATACCTAACTCGATCCAGTTCAACCCGATTCAGTCAGTCCCAGAGCCGTCGCCGTAAACAGTGTTTGTGAGTCGCAAAAGCGACACATAACACTACAGCAGATGTGTTATGAGTCGCTTTTACGACACATAACACTCGGAGGGTTAAAATGATCATAAGGGGAATATGTTACAAATATATATTTTTTTATGAGAAAGAAGAAAAAGAAAGAAACAAAAGAACTTGTCCTACAAAGTTACAATACCTTACATTTTCAGCAGAGAGTGTAGATGGAATCTGGTCCAGGAGTTGAGTGAAAGTCTTAATGTCTGGTTTCACATTAAATTTCTCCATAAGGTCTAGGACACCTGAACTGCCACCCATCAACAGCAACCTGTTGAATTGAAAACTATTAGAAAACAATATTGATAATAAACTGACCTTTTTGGCATGTTGTAATAGTATATTTCATAACAATAGTATAAATAAGTCATTACATATTAGAGACCGTATGAGGTCTGTTCAAAAAGTATCCGGCCTTGTTCAGGAAAAGCATAATTTATTATGATCAATTTGTTTTAACATGATATCTCCTTCAAAATAGCCCCCTTTGACTTCAAATCCTTATTCAATTTTACTATTCCCAGCATTAAAATAAAGTAGTGAGATCCATTATGAGTAAACTTCAAGGTACACAATCCTTGATTGAAATGTAGTATACATTAACAGTCATAATACACAGCAATTATTATGCAGTAGACTTTGACTATTTTCAAGTAACAAACATATATTTCTGTAAATAAAAATGATCTCCCATGTTATCCTTATGGAGAAATACGAAACTTTAAAGGGCCCCAGGGCCTCACTCTCTAACTATTTCCTTAAAAAGAAGGTTTCCTGCACAACTTCATGTTACGCTCATTCCAATGACACCAAAAACATGTCAATCGGTTAAGTAGTTTCGGAGGCGTAATTGTCACAAAAAACCTGTTGCTCGAATTCGAGCAATTGCTAAGTATTAGAGGCGTTATTTTAAAAGGATTAACGGTCATAATTTCTGATGACTTTAAAAGATTCGACCAAAAGATTATGGAAATACTCAAGATGTACATAACAGTATTATATCAATTTATCCAGGCTCTCTCGCTTTTTTCTATTGTAATATTTACACTAACCTAAATTCAAATAGTAAATATTTCATTTCAACCAAGTCAGTAAATGTTTGTAGCAAACTGTATTAGCAAACTTATTGAATGTTTAGAATTAACATATGTTCTTCTTCTTAATTTTAACTTCTGACAACAGCTGGAGTTTCATAACAATTTTTGTTTCCCATGTTAATCTTATGTAGAAATACGAAACTTTAAAGGGCCCCAGGGCCTCACTCTCTAATTATTTCCCTAAAAAGTTTCCTGCACAACTTCACATTACGCTCTTTCCAATGACACCGAAAACATGTCAATCGGTTCAGTAGTTTCGGAGGAGTAATTGTCACAAAAAATATGCTTGCGTATTAAATAAACTAGTGTCCCTGTTGCTCGGATTCGAGCAATTGCTAAGTAGGCCTATAACAGGCGTTATTTTAAAAACGAATAACAGTCATAATTTCTGATGACTTTAAAATATTATACTCGATGATTATAGAAATACTCAAGATGTACATAACAGATCGATATAATCAACATTTCTTGTGAATATCATATAATTTTTCAAAAGCTGGTCTTGTTTTTTTAGTGTTTTCTACAAATAGCCTTACTCATAGCCACATTAAGTTGTCCGTAATAACGATTATAAATTCTAAAAAACCCATTATTTCTATTTCTTCTCCTTGGTGGTGTTCTATGACTTTCCTATGTTTCCATAGTTTGCAAATCGGCTCTTTCAATGATTACTAAGAAATGCAGCACAGTGTTCATTCAGTTTTCTTTTTAGTATATCAATTTATCCAGGCTCTCTCACTTTTTTCCATTGTAATATTTACGTCAACCCAAATTCAAATAGTACTTACTTAATTTTTGGATACTTGGAGAATTCCCACTGGTATCGCATCAGCGACGTGGTCGTCAGGTTTTTTTACTTTTCTTGCTTTTAATTTATATAAAATTGATTCATTTCCTCTTCAGGGATGCACATGGCCTAGACATATATTTCATCAACACTGTAGTAGGCCGCTTGACTTAAAAATGTTTTTAGCAGGTTCTTGAATTTGTTGATAGAAGGCTCTTGCGTGATGTACTGAGGCAATTTATTGTAAATCTTTATACTATTGAAGTAAGGGCTCTTGCTTGCAAGGGTGGAATTTACTTGTGGTACATGAGGATTTGTTGCTCTTCTTGTATTGTAATTGTGGACCATGCTGTTAGTTACAAAAATATTAGGATTCTTCTTAACGAGCAATACAGATTCCAATATAAAGAGAGACGGAAGTGTGAGAATGTTCAGTTCTTGGAATAGAGGTTTACAGTGTTCCGTCTATGGACTCCACATATTCTTCTAATTGCACGTTTTTGAAGGATGAAGATGCGTTTTGCCTCACTACAACTACCCCAAAATACCAAACCATATGAAACTATGCTATGAAAGCAGCCATAGTAAACCTTAAGGAGAATCTTGATGTCAACCAGCTTTTGTGGTCTAAACAGCAGGTAGGTGACAGATGACAGTCTGGGCGCTATTGCATCGACATGTGTTCCCCAATTTAGGTTCTCCGTAATGTGTAGACCCAAGTATTTGGTTTCACTACAGGTTTCAAGAGGCACCCCGTCCAAGGTCAATATCGGAGGTGGTTCAGGCTTCTTCCTGTTATAAAACTCCATTAATTTGGTTTTACTAGAATTTAGGAACAGATGATTTTTGCTACACCAAGTTGACACTTCAAGTAAGCCAGTTTGGGTGTTTTCAATTGTGATGTTTCGATTTGGGCTTGGGACTAGGTTACAGGCGTCTTCAGCAAAAAGCCATAAATTTCCAGAAGATATGGAGCCAGGCAAGTCATTCACGTATAACAGGAATAGGATGGGCCCAAGGTTTGATCCCTGGGGGACACCGATGTTCAGAGCTGGTGATGGAGACGATTTATATGTCCGGAGGATGTTGTCAGGGCCTCTGTGCTTCAAGGATACAATCATGTGTCGATCTTTAAGATAGGATGAAATCCATCGCAGTGGGTTTCCAGAAATGCCAAGTATTCACAGCTTATCCAGAAGGATCCCATGGTCAAGAAGATCAAAAGCCTTTGTCATTTCGTAAAAGAGACATAGTAAACGGTCAGATATGTCAAGGTGGTTATATACTTCCTTTAAAAGGGCGAAAATGGCATCACAGGTAGACATGTTTTTTCTAAACCCAAATTGGTTTTTTGACAAGATGTTATTTGTTTCAATAAAACTTAGCAGTCTTTTAAGAAAAATAATCTTAAAGATTTTACCAAAACAAGGCTGGACAGAAATAGGCCGGTAGTTACTTGCGTTAAGAGGATCATTCTTCTTAAATACAGGTACAACTTTTAAAGTTTTCAATGAATCAGGAAAGCAACCAGTTTCAAATGACTTGTTAATAGCGCAGGCCAATGCTTCAAAGATTTTTTCATTGCAAAGTTTGAGAAGGCTGTATGGGACTTCATCAATGCCAGAACTTTTTTTAGATCCTATTAATAAGACAACTTCACGAACCTCAGAGGCAGAAGTAAGAGACAGTACAAAGCGACTCGCTTTGAGATCAGTGGGCAACACAGGGGCTACATTATCTTAAGCCAATGTACATATTTCCTGGTGAAAAGATTTACAGAAATAGTCTACTATTGTCTGAGGATTTTTGACTTCCACGTCATCGATCATGAGAATCAGGTTTGATTGGGTCTGATACTTTTCATCGCATAGTGTACGGACCACTGCCCAAGATTCTTTGCTTGTGTTCATATATAAGTAGTGTTCATATATAAGTGTTCAAATAATAAGTAAATATTTCATTTCAACCAAGTAGGTAAATTTTAGTGCAAACTGTTAAATTAGCAAACTTATTGACTGTTTACAATTTTATGTTCCTCTTCTTACTTTAAATTTCTAACAACAGCTGGAGTTTCATAACAATGTTTGTCTCCCATGTTAATCTTATGGTGAAATACGAAACTTTAAAGGGCCCCAGGGCCTTATCTCTAATTATTTTCCTAAAACAAAAGTTTCCTGCACAACTTCACGTTACGCTCTTTCCAATGACACCGAAAACATGTCAATCGGTTCAGTAGTTTCGGAGGAGTAATTGTCACAAAAAACCTGCTTGCGTATTAAATAAGTATAGATAGATAGATGTATTTATTTTATCTAACTTTATGTAATGTATTTATTTTATCTAAAAACTGCTATTATAAAATTCTTTTAACTTTATGTAATACTAGTGTACCTGTTGCTCGAATTCCAGCAATTGCGAAGCATTACAGGCGACTCAAAGATTATGGAAATACTCACGATCTACACAACAGTTAGATATAATCAAAATCTTTTGTAAATATCTTATCTTTTTTCAAAAAGCTGATCTAGTTTTTTTAGCGTTTTTAGGGTAAAAAAAACATTATTTCTATTTCTTCTACTTGGTTGTGTTCTATGACTTTTTCTATGTTTCCATTGTTTGCAAATCGGTTATTTCAATGATTGCTCAAGAAATGTAGCACAGTGTTCAGTTCAGTTTTATTCAGTTTTATTTTTAGCCTATATCAAATTGTCCCGGATTTCTCGCTCTTTTCCATTGAAATAATTACACCAACCCAAGTTTCGTCTACAGATGCAATATGCCAAAGAATATCACCTACGTACAATCTCCAAGAAGTGGTAAAAAAGGCAGAAACCAACCCATACAATAGATATAAGTTAACTCGATAAGAAATAATTTTAAAAGTTACTGTGATATTAGGATTTTATACTGATTTGGTAATAGAACATTATATTGCAGAACATGACACGATGCAGAAGAAAATATGGTCGTAATGTAAACAAATCTGAAGAGGCAACTTTAAAGGCTTCTGGGGCAGAGCTCCAAGGGAATTTACCTCTTTCGTCTTTTGATGGCTCATCTACAGACCAAGACCTTTCTTTAGAGACCCCTACCAAGTTTCTACGCCCAGCCGTTCTCTCAAATTAGCTGTGACAAAAACCCCGTTTTCCTCCATAAGAATAACATGGCATGGGAATTTAAAGGCCACGGGGGCAGAGCCCCAAGGGAATTCACCATGTTCCTCTTTTGATGGCTCATCTACAGACCAAGACCTCTCTTTAGACACCTCTACCGAGTTTCTACGCCCAGCCGTTCTCTCAAAATAGCTGTGACAAAGAAAAACAGTTTCAAATTAATATATAGATATTCCTTTATGTTATTTAAAAATAACATAATGACGCATTCATG